GAATTATTATAGATAATAATATATAATAATATCATTATATAATATAATATTATTATATAATATATAATATTATACATATATGTATATATTATAATTTACATTAATTAATTATTAGTTATAGTTATATATTATTAGTTATATATAGAGAGAGTTATATTATATACATAGTTATATGTATATTATTAGTTATATATATAGTTATATATTGTTAGTTACAGTTAGATTAATTATGCAAAAGCTTATTATTTAACGATCTAGTACGACAGTTCGTGCAGTAATTGTCGCTGTAAAATACAATACAGTTATTACTGTAAAATACAATATTCTAAAATGAAAGAGTTGCAACCCCGTTATCATTCTCCCCTACCAATTAACAATTACACACACTGAAATTCGTAGAAACATGAAAGAAAATTAATACACCTATTTCCCCTGAAACATGAAACGCGATGCTGGATGATAAGGGTGACACGGGGGATGGATAAGATTGATTCCGCGAAGAGACCGGCCACTTTATGGCCGCCGCACATATAAACGCCCCCGTGGCTTATTCGAAATCGAACTTGTTATACAGGGTGTCCTATCTATATCGAGATACCGCGCGACTTCCCGCGGCGTGCCTCCCAAGGGAATTCGGTAAATGAAAGGGGATGACGATGAAACACGAACGTCCCTATCGAATGACGCTCGCAATTAATCGGGTTACCAGGGTCGACGCGGCCACCCCTTCCCCTCCCCTCCGCCGCCGCCGCCCTTAATTCGAACCTTCTATTGGATCAACGGAGAATCTGTTTGTCGCGGCAGGCGCGTTCGAAACAGTAATTAAAGCTAATGGGAGGAGAGCTACACCAGGGTGAATATTCTCTCGGCTGAAAAGCGGGACGAGACTTTTTTCTTTTTCTTTTTTTTGCTTTTTTTGCGCATTCTGTATCGGCGTAAAAAATGAATGCCGTCGGAGGAAAAGAGAGAGAGAGATACTCTCTGAAAGCTCGACTTTCGTATTCATTGGATTACAGTGTCAAAAGAAGTCTGTCTCGATCGCTTAAACGAGCCTTTTTCTCTTTTTTTTTGCTCGATAAATAATGGTCGGTGATTTGGTTTTTTAGAGGTTGCTTCGAATAATTATTCTTTCTTTTCTTCGAGCGTGGCACAGCGAATTTTTATGCGAATGGCACAGTTGTTCGATGATATTGTATATTATTTAATGAACGCGTAATTATTTGGTATTGTTTATTAGTATTATTTAGTATTACTTATTAGTACTATTTAGTAGTATTTATTAGTATTATGTAGTATGATTTATTAGTACTATTTATTAATATTATTTATTAGTATTATGTAGTATGATTTATTAGTACTATTTATTAATATTATTTATTGGTATTATTTATTAGAATTATATAGTATTATTTATTAGTATTATTTAGTATTATTTATTAATATTATTTAGTATTATTTATTAGTATTATTTAGTATTATTTATTAGTACTATTTATTAATATTATTTAGTATTATTTATTAGTATNGCGAATTTTTATGCGAATGGCACAGTTGTTCGATGATATTGTATATTATTTAATGAACGCGTAATTATTTGGTATTGTTTATTAGTATTATTTAGTATTACTTATTAGTACTATTTAGTAGTATTTATTAGTATTATGTAGTATGATTTATTAGTACTATTTATTAATATTATTTATTAGTATTATGTAGTATGATTTATTAGTACTATTTATTAATATTATTTATTGGTATTATTTATTAGAATTATATAGTATTATTTATTAGTATTATTTAGTATTATTTATTAATATTATTTAGTATTATTTATTAGTATTATTTAGTATTATTTATTAGTACTATTTATTAATATTATTTAGTATTATTTATTAGTATTATTCATTAGTACTATTTATTACTATTATTTAATATTTTTACTATTTCTTCGCTATTTTATTTTACGTTTCACACTATCAAACCTAATTTTGAATTAGAATTATTTACTCCTGCATGGAATAAATACTATTTTATTCCAACTATGAAGAATCTATTATTTAAAATAATATTTCAAATATTTGTCTCTTCTGAGAGATCTTTCGCTCTACAAAATCGTTTATCGTACAAAGTTGGACCATCTTGCCGACGATCTCGCGACGCAACAAGGTACGACACCTGCCAGAGCACGTTCGCGGAACTGAATTCACCTTAAATCGAATTATGCATCCACGTGACAGCTCATTCTACATGCGAAATCGTGAATGCAGTCCTATGGTCTGGATTTAAAGTGTTCATTGTTTTCTATATCATAAATTTCGTGCATGGGGAATACAGAATAAGGCGAATGTTCGATGAAATTAATAATAATAATAATAATAATAATAATAATAATTTTGTTATGTCAAGGTTATTTGTAATAATAATATTTACAATAATAATTTTGTTATGTCGAGGTTATTTGTAATAATAATATTTATAATAATATATTAAATAAATAAATATATATAATATGATATAAGTAGAATAGAATAGAATAAAATAAAATAAAACAGAATAAAAAATAGAATAGATTAGAATAAAACAGAATAAAATAGAATAGAATAAAATAAAATAAAATAAAATGAAATAAAATAGAATAAAATAAAATAAAACGAAATAAAAATAGAATAAAATAGAATAGATTAGAATAAAACAGAATAAAATAGAATAAAATAGAATAGAATAGACTAAAATACGATAAAATATTACAAAATAGAATAGAACAGAATAACACAAAATAAAACAAGATAAAATAAATTATCACATGTGTCCAATAAATAAAACACTGAATAAACTCCTCACAAATTATTCCTCATTACAATTTCAACAATCAATCATACAATTCAAACAAATTGCCTGACAATTCGCGTAGAACCGGCTCCACATCGCATCGTGCCACCTTAAAAACCAAAAAAAAAAAGAAACGAAAAAGGAAAAAAAACAGATCGTCCGTCAAAACGTGCTTCACCAAGATCTCGAAGAAAGTTGCCCAATTTTTTAACAAGAGAAACTTCGTCCCGTCAAGAGTCTCGCGTCGTCCCGTCCCGGCCCGGCCCGGCCCGGCCCTGTGCACTCATACATTATGCAGGTTGCACCCGGTGAGCCCCGGTCTCCGCAGCCGGAGCCGAGTGTAGAAGAAGTAGTGCAACCCAGTTTCGCGTCGGACCTGCGACGACTCTCTGCACTCTGCGGCGCGCAACCGAGGGGCGCAGAGTACGTTAATCCCAGCGTACGCGAACCCCCGGCGCCGGCTCGTGAAAATTCATCGCGACACACTCGATCCATTTCCATGAACCCATTACCACAGGCAGCGCGAGAGACCTTAAACGAAAACGAGGCGGCGCGACGTTTATGTTTTCTGCACGTTTATGTTCGTTCCACTCGGATGTCACCGGGTCGTCGTTTCGCTTTGGCCCCGGAGCTAACACCGGATAGGGGAGCGCGCGCCACAGTTTCACGGTTTCCGGCGAGTGCCGCGAGACGCGAACTTGTAAAGTCAAACGCGAATCGAAAGTGTCCCCGGCTTTCTATTCTCTCGTGCGATCTTTTTCCATTCGTTTCGCCATTGTTTTCTTGGGAAAGATGATTCTTCGTTTCGTTAGGTGATACGTGATACAGTGATGTAATTGTGATGTAATGTAATTGTAATGTAATTGTAGTATCATGTAATTGTAATTAATGTAATTATAGTATCATGTAATTGTAATGTGATGTAACTATAGTATCATGTAATTGTGATGTAATTGTAATGTAATTGTAATGTGATTGTAATGTAATTGTAATGTAATTGTAATGTAATTGTAATGTAATTGTAATGTAATTGTAATGTAATTGTAATGTAATTGTAATTGTAATGTAATTGTAATGTAATATAATTGTAATGTAATGTAATTGTAATGTGATGTAATATACTTATAGTATCATGTAATTGTAATATAATGTAATTATAATACCATGTAATTGTGATGTAATTGTAATGCAATGTAACGTAATTCTCTCTCTCTCTGTATTTCTCTCTCAATCTCCCTCTCTCTCTCTCTCTCTCTCTGTATTTCTCTCTCAATCTCTCTCTCTCTCTTTCTCCTTCTCTCTCTTTATTTCTCCCGCTCTCTCTCTCTCTCTCTCTCTGTATTTCTCTCTCAATCTCCCTCTCTCTCTCTCTCGATCCCGTCTACCACCGGATAAAACGCTCATATTTCAAAGAATTCATTTCCACCGGCAGCTGTGCTTCCGCTGTGCTCCCGAAATGGCCGCCGGGTTTTCGCAACGGAAGAAGGTTAGATAGCGCGGTAAGAGCTGTTCAAACAGAACCGTCCGGCGGTTTAACGTATGCCGTTAAAAACCGGGCCGGTCTAAAAAGCAAAACAATCAGCGGCGAAGAGGGTCAGGAGGAAATCGGTTGCTCCGCGGACCGGATGCGACCCTCTCCGGCCACAGATAAGATACATCGCCAGGGGTTTTCCCTGGGACGGCCACCTGGAACACGTTTGCGCGCTGCTATTCTTAACTGGCCCATTTATTTTCTCAAGCTATCTAACGGCCCGCGCTACACGGTTTATCGGCACCGTAAACAGACCCCGAGATAAT